GGGAAGAACAGCTAAAGAAATATCAGGAAGCAATTCGCGAGCAAAGTCGAAACATATATGATTCCGTCATACGTCCCGAAAGGTGGATATAGAGCTTTATTGTTTGACGTTGGGCACGTAGTCGCCCGATCTTTCGAAATTGTAGAGATTTTTGAGGGCTAAGCGAATGACCGAACAAACCCGCGCAGAAAAAGAAATGGCCATTACTGTGGTGTCGCTCGCGCTTTGGGGGGCGGTGATTTTGTTTGGCGTCTTTGCGGGGCTTTTCTTCTTGGACATTATACCGTCCGGTAACGGGGTCCTCATCGGGCTTCTCTTGTTGGCGGTCGCAGGTTTCAACTATGGCCTCATGAAGATCATGGTCGGCAAGATGGAAGCGGATTTGGGCGAATGACGCAGTCGACGGACCAGACGATAAAAATTTTGGCAATCCTCAGAATTGCAAACCCAATCCTTATGTTTGCGATTGTTTTATTTGGCTTAAGCTGGGTTGCACAGGCACCTTTGGTTTTGGCTGTTACGATTGCATGCCTGTTTGGGGTCGCCGCATTCACAGTCATGTCTGTTGTTTTGACGAAAAAGAGAAAAATGCGATGAAATCCAAAGTTGAGATCGAGCGGACGAAAGCCTTCTTAAAGATGTTGCGGCTGACAATGCCGCCCCTTCTATTTGTGGTTTTGATGGTTGTCTTAATGACCGTGTTTGGCCTGTCATTTTGGTTGTCAGCTTTGATAGGTCTTGTTCTGGCGGGTGCTGAATATATTGTTTTCTCCCTCATGCTAAACCGTTGGGCAGGGCTATAACCGGCGTGTTGATGCCTTGCCATTGCGAACACGCAACGTTCAATTTTAGGGGGTGAGCTTATCTTCCATGTCTCGTATGTCGGTTAAAACCAAGCCAGGAGGAATAAAGCAATGAGCCTAAATACAGAAAAATCTGCGTCGGTCACGGATGCTTTGGATACCCGCATCACGGTGCGGCAGTTTCTCGACAAACCCGTTCCGGAGAGTGCGCTGCGCGCATTGCTCAAAAAGGCCATGCGCAGCCCGTCCGGCGGCAATCTCCAACCGTGGAAACTCCATGTCATGACGGGCGACACATTGGCGGCGTTCAAAAAAGAAGCCGTTGAGATCACCTTGGCGGGCAAAACTGAAGAGCCCACACACCCCGCTTACCCACAACCGCTTTGGGAGCCGCTGCGGTCTTGGCGTTATAAATTGGGCGAGGATATGTACGCTTTGCTGGACATCCCGCGCGAGAACAAGATGGGCCGCTTGGTCTGGTTTGCACAAAATGCGAAATTCTTCGAAGCACCCGTGGGGATCATTATCACAGGTGATAAGCGGTTGGGCGCGCCGCAGCACATGGATATTGGGATTTTGATCCAATCTATGATGCTCTTGGCGCGCGAAGCCGGGTTGCACACGGCCCCGCAAGGCTGGTGGCGCAATTGGAGCTCCGTCTGCCATAAGCATTTGAACATCGCCGAGACCGATGAAGTTATGGTTGGAATGGCGATTGGCTATGGTGATCCTGCCGCGCCGGTGAATAATCTCTATGCGGATCGTGCCGAATTGGACGAGGTTGCGACGTTTTATTCCTAATTTTTTTATATTTTTTATGAAATAATTTTTGCGGCGCTGTTTGTTACTTCAACGTGAATCCCATTGGGGTTCGCGTTTTTTATTGTCTTAGTCTTGCGTTTAATCCGATATTTACCGCGTTATTCTTCATATTCATCAAGTTTTGACTAAGTTTAACTTAAGTAAAGCCTAGTTAACTCTGTTTTTCTTTAACTCTATATTTATCTTGACGGGTTCAAAGTCCGATCATGCCGAAGAGAGATGCGCCCAACGCATCCAAGCCAAGGCATCCCCGGGATTGGCCCGAAGGGTAGGTGAATAAAAATGGTGAGGAGAAGGTCATGGCCTTTACAGAACTCGAAGTCCGCGAAGCGGAAGACGCAATTGTAGCCGCAGCAAATGCGGAAGATATGTTCCGCTTGGGACTGATCTATTCAACGGATATGGAAGACTGCGGACCCAATTTTGTCGAAGCACATAAATGGTTTAGCTTAGCGGCTATGATGGGCAGCCTGCCGGCTAAAGCCTATCGCGAAGAACTCAAGTTTGAGATGAGTGCAACTGATCTGACGCTGGCTCAACGGGCGGCTCGCGGTTGGATGACTGAACATCGGGCAATGCTCGCAGCCTAAGCTTTGCGAGCGGAAACGCTTGAGGTGTTATCCCGCAAATAGGGTTGAAAGGTTCAGGCTAATCAGGCCGTTGATGATGGCGTCAATGGCAACGGTTGCGAGAACGAGCCCCATAATCCGGCTAATAATACTGGCGCCGGTGTTACCGATGATCTTTTGGATTCGAGTGGCTGCCAGCAGCAGGATGAATGTCAACGCGAGAATGCTCACCAAAACACCTGCGGTGACCGCTTGTTCGGCAATGGAGTTGCCATGATTATCCGTCAGAATGACGACGGCGAGGATCGCGCCCGGTGAAGCAATTGACGGCATGGCTAGTGGGAAAACGGCACCGGAAAGATCATCATTCTCGGCCATTTCGATTTCGCTAGCGGGCTTTGATTGACCGAAAATCATATCCAAGGCGAAGAGAAACAGGATGATACCGCCCGCGACTTGGAATGATCCTAAACGAAGACCCAAAGCCTCTAAAATAAGCTGCCCGAGGACGAGAAACGCCATCAAAACGCAGGTAGCTATGATGACGGCGCGCAGCGCGAACTTCACCCGAAGCTCAGGCTTGACGCTTTTCGCCGCATAGAGAAAAACGGGTATCGTTCCAATCGGGTCAATGACCACGAACAAGGTGATGAATTCCCTATATAAATCCTGCCAAATCATAGGTTGCTGGTGCCGCCTAGCGATTTGAGAGTCAATTTGAGACTGGGTTTACGGCGAAATAACCGTCGTTCCGTTGTCATTACTGCCAAACTGGTACGATAGGTTGAAATCAACCGGGAATGTTTGACGGACCGCCTGAACAAATGCCCCGACTTCTGCCAGATTTGTTCTCGGTACAAAGATAATATCGCCGCGTCTAAGCTGAATATTGTCATTGTACTCTCTGATATTTCGGATTCCGCCTTGAATATTTACAGCACGCATCATCATTGCGCCATTGGGCGCGCGGCGCAGCACGGCGACTTGCTTGGCTCTTGCGCCGGTTCCGAATCCTCCGGCCATAAAGATCGCTTCTACCGCACCAATCCGCCCGGGGAGGGTGTATGTGCCCGGCGCGCCGACTTGGCCGCCGACAAAAATCTGCTCCGGCGCATAGGCGCGGGGCGTCACGTCGATGGTCGGATCGCGCAATTGCTTCCCTAACTCCGCCGTTAATTCGGTCTGAACGTGCCCAAATGTGCGGCCAGCCGCCATAATTGGACGGCTCATCGGCATGACAACGCGGCCGTCAGGGCCGACTGTCAATGTGCGGGAAAGCTCCGGTGCGGAACTGACCACGATATCCAGCTGATCGCCGGCGACGAGTGTATATTCAGGCTCCCAATCGACCCATTGTTGAAACATGCCGGGTGGGGGCGGTCTTTGAAAAGCGATGTTTTTTTGACCGCGTAATCTATGTGCAAGATTCTTATATTTTTTCGGTCCCATGTTCAACGGTTTGCCATAACGGTCGACCGGCACGCCTTGCGGAGCGATTCGCGGTGCCACGACAGGACCTTGACCATATCGCGATTGGGCGTCAGCGGAGGGCGCAGACACAGCAATTAAGGCGCATGAAGCAGCCAAAATGGCGATTTTTCGGGAAATAAGCATCAATCGAGGCCTTTTTTCAGGGCAAAGTGGTTTTTTCCAATAGTTAACAAGAATGGATAAGGAATTATTAAAATTTAGGAGGACATGGTTAACGCGAACACAATGAGGGGATTCGCGCATGTCCAGACGCGGTCGGAAAAATTTTGAACCTGTCAGTACGGCAAACACACCTCGAATGGGGGATTTGACCGTTGGTGACTATGCCAATGGCATGCCTAACATTCGTTTGGGGGAAATGTTCAAGTCTCTCATGCGGCAGCTCTTTTGGATTTTACCACTCTTGTTGATCGGTTTTTTGGTTGCAGGTTATCTGACGAAAGACCTCAAGCGGGTTTATTCCGGCGACGCCAGCATTCTGGTGCAGCTCGGCGAGGAATATGTCTATAATCCGGTTGGACCCGCGACCACCGGCACTGGCCTGACGACAACGATCGATACAATCACGCTGACAGAAGCCGCCCTGATGCGAAATAATGACCTCATCGCTCAGGTAATCGGTGAAATGACGTCGGGCGGACAAGGTTTGACACCCCGCCAAGCGGAAAACCGCTTCGACCAAGACGCATATAGAAAGATAAACAACGCGATAAACAGAGGTGACGTGCGCGCAGAACAAGATGCGATCATGGAATTGCGCAATTCTGTCGCGTCGAGTTACGTTGTCATGCCGCGCGCGAAGTCCTCCATTATTGATGTGTCATATAAGCATGAAGACCCGGACGTGGCAGTCGAGACCGTGAATCGATTTGCGCACGCCTATTTGGAGTTTCGCAAAGGGGCGTTTGGCAAAGGCGACAGTGAGTTGATATCCCAGCGCCGCCAAGCGACTGAAGATCAACTCAAGCTAAATGAACGTGCGATTGCCAGCTTCCTTAAAAGAAATGACATTGCTGATTTCGAGTCCGAACAAACAGGCTTGCGGGAACGTACCGAGGATTTGAAAGCCAGTTTAAACGGGACACGTGCCTCTATCGCAGAAACAGAGGCGGCTTTGGCAGAAGTTGAGAACCAACTTCGCGGCACGCCAGACAAAATTGACCTCTTCGTTGATGACCGAACCCAGCAGCGCGTGGCGCAGGCTGAGTTAGAGCTGCGTCAGTTAATGGCGAAGTATTTGCCGACATCTGATCCGGTGCGGCAAAAACAAACAGAACTGAATGAGCTACGCGCGCTACAGTCTTCCCATGGCGGGAAAGCCAGCGGCGGTCGCCGGGTTGGTCCAAACCCGACGCATCAAGCATTGCTGACACAACGGCATAACTTGGCTGCAAATGCAGATTCTCTACGGGAGCGTGAGTTTACCCAGCAAGGTCAGCTCAATTCTGCTGATCGGAAAATTCGAAAACTGACGGCCCTCAATCCAACCTATGCAAACCTTTTGCGGGAACGCGAAACGCTGAAATTGCGCCTGACCTCCTATAATTCAAAGGAACAGGAAGCTTTGGTCGACGCAACGCAAATTGACGGCGAGTCAGAGAACGTCAAAATTATCTCTGAGGCAGAATTTGCCAATAAGGGCCGCAACATGCGGAAACTGGCGTGGTTCGGCGCAACATTGGCGTGGGGGCTCGTGCTCTTTTTCCTCGCTATGATCCGTGTCTTCCTTGACCCGCGCCTCTACGCTGTGCCCGGTGCGGTTCAAATGCCGCAGACGGCCGGTCAGCCCGAGCCTATGCTCCAGCCCTTCCATGATCCCATACCGGAGGCTGTTCCGCTTTACGAACCTACCCATCCTCCGGGACCTAGTCCTTATGAAGCTCAACCAGCTGCTTATGGCGCCGCTGACCCCTATGCTCAGACGGGTTATGTCGATTATGGTCAGGCCGCTGACGTCTATGCCGATCCCTATGCTAACCCTTATGAAAGCGGTTACCCTCAAGCGGATCAGGCTGCACCTTCCAGTGCATACTCCGGGAACACAGCCGTAGATCTCTCACACAACCCATATGCCACGGGTGAGGTTCAAGCCGGATCTTTCAATGCCGCGCCGCCTTACGCGCCGCCGCAAAGCTAAATAGAATATGGCTGCCACGCAGACCTATAGTCAGGCTCATCTCCAACAGCGCAATTATGCGTTGGGGGGGATTTTGCGTGGTGTGGAGAATTTAATATTCTTCCTGCTCCTATTTCAGTTTTCCACGGCGCTGATTGCGTTGTTTCTAACGGATTTCAATAATCCCGAATATCAGAGCCCGCTCGCGAGGATGCTTTGGTATCCAGGATATGCCGCGATTTTTGTTTTAATGTTGCGAACGTTTCCACAATTTATTCGATTAGCCGCTTTCAACCCGCTCTTGATTCTTTGTGTCGTGATTTGCGGCCTGAGTGTCCTTTGGTCAGTCAACCCTCCGGTCACCATGCGCCGAGCGATTGCGGTTGGATTGACAACGGCGTTCGGTCTGGTTCTGGCGGCCCGATATGATTGGAACGGGTTGGTGCAACGCTTGG